CTCTCTAGGTCTTTTAGGGGAAATCTAAAAGAAAAATATCAATTAGTTATTTGGTAAGGTGGCTGCATGTATTATGTAAGCTATCCATGAATTAGTTTTTTAATTGATGACTATGACGATTGTTTGTATTTTGACAGGTAGGTAGGTACTTACGAAAAAAAGTGGATTTTTCGGAAACCGACAGTTTTCCCTTGACGATTGTAACAACCGTGTACACAACACGAATAAACCATAGTTATAAATTAATTAACACGATCATTATAACTTATAAGTCATATAATATTTAATAAGTCGAAAATCGGAAGCTGGAACAGTTTTTTTAAACATTCAGTTATCAATATATCCGATATCGTGTTATCACATAAAAATGTAAACATTGCCGTCTAGGCAAATGGCGGCACAACTTCAAGACATTGCATAGCTGTTGTATAGTAGTCGGCTATCTAGTTGTTTATATATGTCTATGGGTTATACTAACAAGCTGGTTAAAGTAATATGTTTCATATAATATGTATTAAATATTTTAAAAACAGTCATATAAAAAAATAATATGTTAATTATTAATTATTATAGGTTACAGCGTTCATATTTGCATCTGAAGGAAAAACTATCACAAAAGTAACAAACAGTATACTAAGAACAGTCATTTCTGATGATTTAGCCAAACAGTATAGCTGGAAAGGTCAGAAAAACAAAAATTCGTTTAAAGACTTAACCATCAGTAAGATCATAATAGGTTAGTACTTCATTGTTTTTAATTAAAAGTAATTACCATTTACCAACTGATTTAATTATAGGCAGGCTTTAAAACAAAATTCTCAATACTGATAATAACTGTCAAACTGTATGACCTGAATGACTGACATAGGTAGTGTTATTTATAAAAATTTTTCTTAAACATTTGTATTTAGTTAAGATTAATTCTCTTAATACAAATACGACTGAACAATAAATAAATAATATAGGTAAATAATACTACTCAAGTAGAATATATTAAATTTGCTAGAAGTAGGTATAAATAATAGAATCTATATATTATAATAGTACATACACTGTAAGAAAAACCTACTGAATATCATCAGCTTTGGAAGAGAATAAAATATAGACAGTTGTGCCTAATAGCTACAAAAAGGTTCCTTCTTAATACGAATAAGAAATTAGATAATATTACTTATTAAATTACTATACCTACCTATTTAACCATAATACTTTTCTAAAATCAACCCCTTCCAATAATATAATAATACCCATGAATGATTATTATACATCAATATTTATTATAGATAATAATAATATATTAGTACTATAATTAAAATTTGTAAAATAAATTCAACATTAAGATAACTTTTAAATATAATATTCTCAAAGTTTAAAAAACTAATTTGAATGTACTAACTATTTATTTATTTATATGTTATTTAATGTTGTAGACGCTGTGCTCAAGAAATTTCCAAACATGCAAGATTCCAAACAAGAAATAAAACGTAGCATAATGACATGGTTGGCTCAAGCACCTACCCGCATTATAAGGTTAAATTTAATTTATAATTTAAATGTTTTACATAGTTAGTATTTTATTTAAAATTAACTTGCGTTTATGAAAACATAAATGTTTAGCAATTGTATCCATTAACATTTATTTATTTGAGATTTATAATTAAAAAAAGCAAGTTTTTGTTTTTAATATCTGAATTTTAAAATTGTTTTAATAATTTAAATAAAAAAACAAAATGTACAATTTTATCTAATTTTCCAAAGTAGCTAGGAATCGATAAATTATTCACTTATATGGCCATACTATTATCAATTTTCATTGGGCAGCATACAAAAATAAAATAAATGTTATTAAAAATTTAAAAATACAATTTTAACTTAATATAATATAAATTTATTTATGGATACCTATAGTAACAATCACATCATGGGTTTCATTGTTCAGTTGTCCTTATTAACTAATTTTTAATGATACATATTTGAAGGGCCGTTAGATAAAAGTCCCAGGTGTCTCGGATTCCCGGTGCCTGTTCCAATGGTCAAAATGGTCAAATTTCTACTGTCAAAATGAATAAATTTAAAAAATCAAAATAGTCTTTAGCATAAATATTATTATATTTTTTCTTCTTTGAAATTGTTATGGTCATACCATTAGTTATATTTATAATTTCATACATTTTAAAGTTTATTTTATTTGTATTTACAGATTCAACACGAAGAATGCACAGACTCCTGTTGGTTCACATGATTCAATTTGAGAAGACAGCAAATAATAATCATTAATTTTATTCATTTAACCTATTAATCCAAGGAAAAAAAGAGAACAATTTTATTTTTTATTTTTTTTTCATTTAATTTTGTGTATTATGTATACATAATTTATTTTTTCATAAATAATTATACTAATAATTATATTATTTTCATTCATTATAATGATTAGGTACCTATACTAGGTATTTCTAATTTCTTTTTTTGTCATTGAGAGCAATTTATTTTATCTCTTGACCACAAAAACTACATCCTATTCCACCAATCATTATAAGCAAATTTTACTATAATACCTATACAATGTTTTATTTTATTTGTAGTATATTAATTGTATCTATTAATTAAAAAAAAAAAAAAAAACTATTAACAACCTATTTATATTAAAGAGTTATAATGCAAATGAAGCAAAAAATATTGGAATTTTATGTGTGATCTAATAGAACTTAAAACAAAATTAATAGTACATCAAATGTGATAAAAAGGTCAGAAAAATATATTTTGTATCATATAAATAATATTAAAAAATGAAATTTTAATATAAATCTTATGTATTATAAACGTTTTTAAAGTATCATTTCATTGCACATAAAATGTTTAAAAAACCCTAAATAAGCATTTTTTAAATATTATTTTTGAAATGAAATGTTGGCCATTAAGACATTTTAAAAACGTTTTATAAACACAACTTTTATATTTAATATACATTTTTATAAACATTAAAAAAAAATTTCTTTGCTGCTTGGGTAATTTAACTTACCGGCTACCGTATTATGAATAAATTACTAATACTTTTATAAATTATAAATATAATATAAAACATCCTAGACTTATACAGACTCCGCTCAGAATTCACTAGACCTCCTTTTTATAATATTATAGACTGATTATACTTAAATATTATATACATACTATAATATTAGTATTGCAACCCTAGTCAAAATCTAGTTGTATTCTATACATTTTTTTTTTTATTTGTCTAGCATTGACAACCCTGATCAATTATACACTATTGCCGGTCAAAGTAATGTAGTCGAACCGTTACCTCCACCTGATAATGATAGATCCGCCACTATGCTCGAAGAATCGATAGTAGATTCAACGTGTTCGAGTTTAAATAACACTAATAACAGTTTTCTATCAATTAATGAAACTCCGCCTCGTTTGTTGAATAAAAATATCCAACCCGCAATGTCATCAACTGAAGATTCAATTGAAACAGTAAATAATTCGGAACTTTTTGTCGAGATGGATACTGAACTGATATTAACGCCAAAGTCTACAAAGAAATTGCATGAAATGTCAGGACGCAGAGTAGTGGATATTTTTACTTTTATCCGTGATATACAAAATTACCTTTGTGATCATGGACCATTATTTGGATGTCCATTCAAAGATATGGATATAATATCTGAAAAAAAGAACTGGTTTACAAAGTTTCATCAGCTTTAAATGTAAGATGTGTGGACATCATAAGTCTATTAAGACAGATAATTATGAAAGTTCGGGAGCAATAAATGTCAATGAGAGTGCGATTATGGGTACCCTATCAGCTGGAGGAGGTTATAGTCACCTTTCACAAATATTTTCAGCTATAAACATTCCAGTAATGAATTTTAGTACGTATAGAGTCTATGAGAATAAAGTGATGGACAATTTTGAAAAAGTTGCTTCTGAGATCATGCTAAATTCAGCGATGGAGGAAAAAGCTTTAGCTATACAAAATGGCGATGTTGATAAAGATGGTGTTCCTTTATTAACAGTTATATGCGATGGCAGTTGGGGAAAGAGATCTTATAGAACTATGTATAATTCATCTTCTGGAACAGTAAGTTAAATTGAAATAATTAAATAACTATAAATATTATTAGTTTAGGCCTCAGAAATGAATGCACACAGAAAGTACTAAAAATGTACTATGTATACACTTATAGTTATTATAAGTATTGTGTCATGAAATTAATTTCAAGTTTACTTAGCAATAAATCTAATAGCCCAAAAAAAAAATATGCAAATGTAAAAACTTCTGAGACCCTGATTATTATATTACCTACATATTGTATGATCAAACTTACTTAATATGCAATATACTTATGTACAGATTGTAAATAATAAATATTCTCGAATAATTATTTCTCATTTAATTGTTTTTAGGCTGCTATAATTGGTCAACGAACCAAGAAAGTATTGTTTATGGGTGTTCGAAACAAATACTGTCTTGTTTGCGCCAGAGCATCGAATTCCAATAAAAAAACCATTAGAGCATGTCTGTTTTAAAAACTGGGACGATAGCCAAAGTTCTTCAGCTATTAAAACTTCTATTATTGTTGAAGGTTTTAAAACTAGTGAAGACATGTACGGCATTCGGTATGCTAAATTTATAGGAGATGGGGACAGTAATGTATATAAAAAAATTTAGAGCAAAGACTCTATAAAGATCTTACGGTACAAAAGGTAGAATGTAGAAACCATTTGTACAGACATTTTTGCAATAAATTAAGGGATATTGCAAAAAACAGAAAATTCTTTGGTGAATTTCGAAATGCTTTGAATGGAAATGTATATCGACTTAGAAATGCTGTTGCTAAATCCGTAAAATTTAGAAAAATATCTAATGACATTGCTGGTCTAAGAAGAGATATTGAAAATGCTTCTCATCATGTTTTTGGAAACCATTGTAAATGTGATTCATATTATTGTGAAGGGCCAAAAAAAAAAATGAGATAAATAAGGTTCCGGAAATGGAGAAAAATGGTATATTTGGAGAGATAATGACAACAATGAGAAGATACTTATTAGTACAATCTAAATCTCTCATTCAAGACTTGGAGAGTAATATTGTTGAAAGTTATAATGCAGTTGTAGCAAAATGTATTTCAGGTAAGCTCTCGTATTTTCTAATATTTTATTTTATTTTGTAATACCTACGATAATTTCGTTTAGAGTAACACCAAAAACCAAAATCGTTTTTGCGTAAAAATTCCTGTTCTTCCTTAATTTGTCTTTTCTTGTTCACGGCGTTTTTGAAAACTACTGGAGAATTTTAGATTCTGAGTTTTTTATTTTTTATTTTTTTTGTGTCTGTGTACACGATAAGTGGTTGTTTATATTTGCATTTTCTATACACGATAACATTTTAAAAATATTTTGATTTATTTTGAACTGTTTAAGGACATTTTCATTTTTCATTTTTTTTTAGTTTTTTTCTAGAAATATCAATAAAATTGTATTTGTTGTTTAAAAAAACTTGAAAATTTAATAGAAGGCTCCTAGTATATTGTTTCAAAGGCAGATGAAAAATATTAAAAAGGATTGAAAATGTAATACAAGATTACTCATAAGTTTGTCTACCTTTATCAATAAAAACATCGAATTTTGACAGAATTTTTCAAAATCTCGAAAATTATTAATCATCGTAATTAATAAATTATAAAATGTTCAGTTTTTATAGCTAAGGATTGAAAATTTAAAACATGATTCCACGTAAGTAGTTAATTATCTTACTGAAAAATCTAAAAAATATACAATCACAGTTTATTTTTATAGTCATTTTATGTTCAATTTGGACGAAATTACATATTAAAAAACCTAGTTATTTTGTTGTGATTATATAATATTATTCGTGGGTACCTACTTGAAACTTCTAAAGTGTACTATTATAGTATTATATATTTATGATAGTATCAGGGTTTGTTATTGATGTTGATGTATAACGTGTTATAAGTACCTAATGGATATTGTTATAATGTGATATGATTAATTTGGAATTTATTATGGGTCAATTTTTTTTTTTAATACCATAGATATGAATATAATTTGTCTTAAACCTAGACTGACATACCGTCTTCGCTCAGAATCGTTTTTCTTATACATTGATATTGTATCATAGAATTCAAATTTAATAGCATCCATTATTCAGTGACCCACTTGTAACCTACTGTACAGCAGAGCGACATCCACTTACCCTCCTTTTTACTTTTGACCTCCAAAGTACCAACTAGATTCACTTTCTTATCAGAAAAGATACTGTTGAAGAAAACCTAATAATTTTTACTCTCCTAAAAGGTGGCGACAGACACAAAAAAAAAAGTAGCTCTGCTGTACAATAGGTTACAAGTTGGTCACTGTATAATGGATGCTATTAAATTTGAATTCAATGATATAATATCATTGTATAATAAAAATGATTCTGCGCGGAGACGGTATGTCAGTCTAAGTATAAGACATATTATATACTTATCTATGGTATTAAAAAAAAAATTGACCTAAAATAGGTACCTATAATAAATTCCAAATTAATCATATCACAATATCCATTAGGTACTTATAATGCGTTGTACGTCAACAACAAACCCTGATACTATCATAGTCCATACTCCATAGATATATAATAGTGTACTTTAGAAGTTCAAGTAACCCACGAATAATATTACACAATCACGACAAAATACTAAAATAGTTATTCTAGGTTTTTTTTTATGTAATTTTGTCCAAATTTGAACTTAAAATGACTATAAAAATAAACTGTGCTTCTGTATTTTTTAGACTTTTTGATAACAGAATTAACTACTTACGTGGAATCTTGTTTTAAATTTTCAATCCTTAGATATAAAAGTTGAACAATTTATAAATTTGTAACTACAAAATAATTATTCAATTTTAAATTTGATATATTTCGTCAAAATTTTATCTTTAAAGCCTTGTATTAAATTTTTACACTTTTTGGCCCAACAGATAAACTTAATTGATATTTATAGAAAAAAAAACTAAAAAAAATTGAAAGCTGTAAATGTCCGTAAACAGCTCAAAAAGAGTCAAAATATTTTTAAATTGTATAGTGTATAGGAAATACTAATATTAATATATAGGGGAACGTGGGGCAAAATGGGGACATGGTTAAATTTTAAGGAAATAATGAAAATGTCAGTTTTTAAAACAGCTGTTTAGAATGGTTCCCCGATCGAGAAAACGTGGTTAAAGTTTAATTATTTAATTTGCATTATTATACGAGTTATTGATAAAAACATGAACAATTTGATACCGTGATAAGTGATATAAAAACAATTTTTTTTATTTTGAATTTTTTTTGGAATTGAAGTTGAATCTTTTTCACTTTAATAATTATTTAAATAGTTGACAGACATAAAATTAGTATTTTTATAAAAATTATACTTTATGGTCATCAGAACGTCTGCCAAAATAATCGAAAAAGTAAGTAGGTTGTAGGGCAAAATTAGGTTTACGTGTTTGGGGCAAAAAAGGGCCCCTTTCATTGTGATGAACTATACTCAAAGTCTATTGGTGGCTGGATTAAATGCACAGTGTGTAAGAGATGGGCTCATAACCTTTGTGCTGGCATTGAAGAAGAAGAAGACTCTATATTTATATGTGAATTTTGTTCATAATTTTTTTTCTATTTATTACTCTCTAAATATTACTCTAATATTATATCTTAATAATTTTTTTCCTTAAACTTATAACTCATAAGATTGTTTGTTAACAAAATATAGAAAATTTATATTAATAAAATAAAAAATAAATCAAAAAATGTGTGTTTTGTCAAATTGTTATTCATTTTATAAAGAATACCCCATATTGCCCCATATGGGGCAAAATGAGCTTTTTAAGTTTTTAATTTTCACTAAGTCAAATATTATTTTATTGTTATTAACTGATACTGGTATTATATTAGACAACATAAAGATCATATGACTGTAGTTTTAGAGAAATATCATATGAAATAAACAGTTTATTCCTAATAAAACCTTAGCGTCCCCATTTTGCCCCACGTTCCCCTAGTGAAGTTTTCATGTATCTACAGTTATTCGTTTTTGAATTACAACAAAATAAGGAAATCGCTACATGAGAAAATGCTTATAAAAAAATTGTGACTAAGGATTTTTCATATTTTTCATCTGCCTTTGAAACAATATACTAGGAGCATTCTATTAAATGTTCAAGCATTTGCAACCAACAAAAAAACTTTTATTGATATTTTTAGAAAAATACTAAAAAAAAATGGAAAATGAAAATGTCCCTAAACAGTTCAAAATAAATCAAAATATTTTGAAAATGTTATCGTGTATAGAAAATGCAAATATAAACAACCAGTGAAAATTGCATGTATATACGTTCATTTGTTTTAGAGTTACACCATAGTTTAAATATACAAGGTTATTGCACATAGCCCATATTGTTATCAAACAAAAATAAAATGGTAGCGTAAGGGTACAGTCCATATTATGCATATAATATCATAGCATAGACAGTATACGTCGTCCCCTTACGCTGCCATTTTAATTCCTTAACGTGATAAAATGATATAGTGGGGGTATTATTGCAATAACCTTGTATATTTAAGCCATGAGTTACACCAAAAACCAAAATGTATTTTTTGGAAAACCGATTTTGCGTTAAAATTCCCGTTTTTCCCGGGATTTTTATGTTGTTTTTCCCGCCGCTTATGAAAACTACTGGGACATTTTTACTTTTGACCCCCCAAAGTACCAACTAGATTCACTTTCCTATCAGAAAAGATACTGTTGAAGAAAATCCAAGCACTTTTACTGTCCTAAAACGTGATGAAAGACACAAAAAAAAAAAAAATAACAAATAACATATATTTATTATTTGGTATTTTAGCACTCTTTTATTGTAATATGTCAACATTACTTTTTATAGGTAAAAGAATAAATTACTCGTTGAGGCAATCATACACGGGACGGTGTAACGTTGCCACAGTGACATACAATGCAAAAAAACCAGTTTACGCTTACCACAAACTTATACACAATAAGAGCCCTGGAATTTTCACTAAAAGAAAAGAAGAAAGGATAATGTTAGCAGCGCAGGCGACTACTTCAAGAAGACGTGGTTTAATACGTAGACAGTTATTTCCAGTAAATAAGACAGTAGGACGTTCAGATCCTTCTTATGGGGATAATGCTGAAAAACCAGATATGGCAGAGAATGACTTTGAAGCTGAAAAAGAAAAAATACTTTCTTCGTTACTTTTGAACGAAGAAGAAAGGACAATTTTAGAACGTGAAATTGTGGATCAGAGTCTATCAAACAAATGGGTAGACCGAAGAAGGAAAATGCTCACCGCCTCTAATTTTGGTAAAATTATCAAAATGAGACAAACCACAAGCTGTCAGAGTTTTGTTCAAAATCATTTGTTTGGTGGAGTGACTACAACTGTCATGGAGTAAGGAAAATCAAATGAAGAAACAGCACTGAGAGTACTAGAACGTATTTTAAATGTAAAAATTATTAAATGTGGTATTTTTGTGTGAAAATCCATACTTAGGAGCTACTCCAGATGGTCTAATTGGTAACGACGGAATAGTCGAGGTAAAATGTCCTTCATCAGCAGAACATTTAACGCCAGAAGAAGGTATCATACAAAAAAAATAACATTTTGGACGTTAAACAAATCTGGAGAAATTAGCGGAATTAATAAAAAACATAACTGGTATTTTCAAGTGCAAGGCCAACTAAATGTGGGTCAAAAAAGTTTTTGTCAGTTTGCAGTTTGGACTCCTAAAGGCATTAAAGTTGAAAAATTGAACGTGATGAAGAGTTGTGGAAAAGTATGATGGTAGAAAAATTAAAATATTTTCATCTCAACTGTATATTGCCAGAACTAGCCGACAGTCGATTTTTAAGGTCAATGCCGATGAGGAATCCAAAAGAAATAATAGATGCACAAGAAAAAAAATTGAACAGAAAAGGTAAAATTAATTTTCGTATTTTTAAAACACAACAAAAAAATAAAATATTAATAAAATAAATATTTTCTTTGTTTATTTAGGAAAACTTTAAGAACAAAATAAGTGATGAACAAGATGTACATATTTACCTACAAATTGATATAATATAATATAACTTTTGTTTATTCATTATAAGTTATAAGTGTTTATAGATATAATTATGAGTATATATATATTATAAAATAATATTTAAAATATAATAATATACGAAAACAGAACAACCCGTATGTTAATTAAAACGTGTGAAATAAAGACGTTTAAACCTATGGTAAAAACTGTCCTACCTATATATTATAATTATTGTTTTAAGGGGATCGTAGTGGCGTGCCCAGGAATTTTAAATGGGGCGGGGGACAACTTTTTTTTTTTAATTATTAATACAATTTAATATATTTGTAAGCAACTCAAAACGAGTAAAATACTTTTACAATGTTATCAAGTATAGGAATTGGTAAAATAATTAACACATGGTGTAAATTTCAAGTCTCTGCAGTCTGCAGTTATTCGTTTTTGATTTACAACAACATAAGAAAATCGCTACGTCATCATGAGAAATGATTGTTTGCATGCAAACATTTGAACTTCAAATAAAAATTTAATTTGACTTTCCGGTAAAAAATTTTTTTTTTTTGAAAAAGGTAGGCAAACTTTTAAGGAACCTCCCCCCTCCTGAGAGGATTTCAGTGCACTATTTTTTTCTCTCTGGCCCGTAACATAGACAAAACGCATTTACGCAGAATCATTTTTTCTATGTTTTTATGTAATCTTAGATTAAAATCACCCATTATAAAAAAGGTGGAGAATAATATTTTTGAGGGAATGACATCGATTTGTCTAAATATTGTCTCAAAACAATTTAACGTAATTTAAATTTACAACATATTTTTGTTTATTTTGAAAGTCGTATACAAAGTCAAAATAAATAACAATAAAATATAAAATCGATGGCATTCCCTTAAAAATATTATTCTCTATCTTTTTTTGTAATGGGTGATTTTACTCTAAGATTACATAAAAACATAGAATAAATGATTCTGCGTAATGCGTTTTGTCTGTGTTTCGCGTAGGCCCGAGACACAAAACAAATAGTGCGCTGACATCCTCTCAATAACCTGAGAAGTATAAACCACATTATATTGTTTCATAATATTGTTATGCTCGATGTGATAATACACATATTTAGGTAAACATCATGTTTAATCAATAATTTAGTTTACGAGAAATTTAGGAATATTTGAGCGACATAAAAATATCGAACACGCTACGCCGCGGCATTCAACTGCATTGACGAAAAATATGCTCTTCACGACCGTCCGTGAAATAATGATGTACCTCTCCCGCGACTAGTACGCGTGGACTCCGTCGCGTAGACAATGGGCGTGGTTATGACCTGCCGAGACAGCGGCGATATGGAACACAACGCCATCTCTGGAGCGTTGTATACGTTTTACTTTTACTATAACGGCCCCTTAACACTGTCTATAATCAATGTATGCTGACTGTTTATATACAATCTAATAAGGCTGTGTGAGTGTGTAAGGTGATTATCGGTTTATGTATTATTGTCAGATAATTAGGTATAAATAAAATAAATGCAGTGTACTCATTTTTTTAGGCTTTCCACATTAAATTGAACATAGAGGTTGTTTGGCAGATCACCTATGTTAACTTCAAATAACTTTTGATTAAAAAAAAAAATGCTCGTTTGCAGTTTATAATCAGTCTAATATTATAATGTGATGTAATATCGCATGATTATTTTATTTTCAGGTAAACTGCTAATTAGATATAAATAAAATAAATGCAATGCAGCAATTTTTGTTTTTAGGCTTGCTACAATAATTATTTACACTTTTGTCATCATTTTATCAGATAACCTACTTTATTCAATAATTAGTAAAGATTTATTTATAATTGTAAACTTGTTATCTAGATAATATTAATTCCTATTCTATACAAAAAAACATCAATACCTAAGTATAATAACTGCATCATCAGACTATCGAAAATTAGTAATTTATGATGTGGTTCAATGATGTTCTGTATAATTTCAATAAATATGATAGTATATATAAATACAGATTCATTTTTCATTGGACTCTAGAGTTTGTTAGGTCTATGATGACAGTTATTTAACAAATTTTTAAACAATTTGTGTATGTACCAATTCATCTTCAACACTATCTATTTAACGTGAACGTGCAATTCAAGATTTGTTCAACAAACAAGTAGATTAATACCTGTTATTATATGTAAGTTATTAATTAAATAAAAATAAATATGTCTAACACATAATTTTCAAATTTCAGTGAAATGAAAATCAAATTAATAATGAAATATTAAATATTAAATTAAATTGTGTTGTGTACAATTTATAAAGTATAACCAATAATCTGAAATTTAAATAAAGTTTAAAAAATAATAATTCAGAACTTTATGTTGTGCTTATAATATATTTGTAATACTATGATTGTTAATATATGTTATTTATTTACAGGTAAATATCATTAGTAAACTATTAAGTTATATAACTAATTCTCAAATAATTTGTGTATGTGACAATTCATTTTTTTACTACCGCCTAATCGACGTCAACAAACTGAAAACATTGAAAATTGAAGATTTGTAGAATAATCTGATGGATAATATGAACGATAACATGTAAGTTAAATGTTTATGATTAGTGAAATATGAAATAACATAATATTTAATATCAAATTAATTCATATTGTTGCAGCGCAACAATATATATGTAAATTAGAATAATAGCTGGACACACACACACACGCACAGTCACTTATAATTGTTATCTTTGTATTGTTTTATTTTTGTATTAATTACCGTGTCTTGTGAATTATGTAATGTATAGAGTATAGATTAAGTTGATCGTCGCTGCCGCCATACCGTCTGCGCGAAGTATTATTATTTTAACACGGCCGCCCAGGCAACCAGTCCGTTCCGTACTACTGAAGTAAATGGTACCTATTTAAACGTGCGCTAATCGCCGTTTGTAATTCAACATATTATAATATTTTTTGTGAGGCGCTAATCGCCGTATGTTATAATAATATAAGTTTTTTTAGTTTATACTATATTTTTTCTGTCGGCGCAAATCGCTGCGATTATATTGTTTATTATATTGTTTCGGTCGGCGCGAATCGCCAAATCTATTATACTTTTTACGTGCGCGAATCGCCGTTTCCATTATATTGTGCGAGAGCTAATCGCCATTTATTTTAGTATATATATTTTAATTTTTCATTAGTTTTCTGTGTGAGTGTGTGAATTTTTCCTATTATATAGCTAGGACCAGCTGGCCAGACTGTGCTCCACCAAACTGTGAGTTTTTTTATTGTTATTTATTGTATTATACAAATTTATTAGTAGGCCAAGGTTGTCAAATATTTTATTATTCTGTTGAGCCAGAAAGGCTCAAGGGCCCTGTATTATATCTATATTAATTGTTTATACGCGCTCACGTAGCCGCCTATCGTATACTCTGTTGGGCCAGAAGGGCCATATATTATTTTTAGATTATTTATACCTTGCGGTTGCTGTGAGTTATATTTTATTTTGTGTATTATTTTGAATTATTTATATATTATACAGCAACCTATGTTTACCTAAATCCGTGTTACCATCTTTTTTATTAGTTACTATTATTTTTAAGCACACACACTACCTAGATACACATTTAGACACAAATACACATATTACAAAACAAGCATCACGTAGTTCTACAGTAATTGCCCGGCGACCCCGACCACTGCTGTTTGAACTACTACACCACCACACACCCAGCTATTTTCGTATAATTTCTCCCTTCTAAGTTCTAGGTGTTAGTGGTATTGTTGATAGGCGTTGGAGTTCGGGCGCGCGTATTATTTTATATGCTCCCGGCCCGTTCACATATTATATGAAATAAAATTGAATATTAAATATTTTCAAATAAAATTAAATTTTAATAATTTAGTTTAATTTCAAATATAATTATTATAACAGAAATAATTAAAAAAATAAACTTGAAAAATGTAAAAAATATTGTAAAAAATATTATTTTATTTTTAATAATATATTATAGGTTAACTACTGTAACTGGTATGATATCATTTATAAAAATCAAGTATAAATTGAACTAAAATAAATACTATGTTTGTGTTTTTTACATTTTTTTTTAAATATATACTATATTAAATAGATGAAAATAATACTAATGTTGTAAATAAATGTTTTATATTTACAGACAAAAACCGAAAAATAAAATAATAATTATTGATTTTGAATTCACAAACTATCAACGTACTGATTTAATACTTATTTCGGGGTTTTATCGACTCCGCCGTTTTAATATCAATTCCGCCGGCTATCGATTCCGCCGGATTTTTGTTTATATTGATTCCGCCGACCATCGATTCCGCCAGTTATTTATTTATGTTGAT